TCTCATATGCCTATATTATAAAGTTGTGTTTCTACATAGAACAATGCAAAAACTCGTTTTGAAAATCCAATAAAGCCTTTCAAAAGGTTTTGACCAGAATTTCACATTTATTTCGAGCCCATGATGAATATTTAGATTTGTTTTCTCATATTCGTGTCGCGCAGCTTTATTAAAATATTTGTTTATTACAATCCAATCGTATAAATAGATTTCAATAAAAACTAGATGAAGTTTAAATTTGTGCTACGTGACGGAAAATTATTAACCCTTGTGCCACGACAGTGTTTTCCGCAGGAGTGCCACTGCTGCACGAGCCAGCTACTCGCCCAAGAAATTGTTAAATAGGGTTAATTTTCAATCGTTTCGAAGATGTGAAATATTAAACTTCTTCTGGATTTAATTATAATTTACTAATGATCAATATATTTATTTTGTATAACAAATTGCATCACTACCACCATATTCGAAACAAGCTAAATCAAAATTGTCTGTTTACTAATCCAATTATATTAATGAGACTGAATCAAACATAATTATATTTTGTTACCAGAATTCTTCGATTTTTGCTCGCTGTCAATACATTTATCATCTTTACTAATATTTGCTACTGTATAATTTTACACGGGAACGCTTCTTGGAGGTGAGATACGTATTCAGTAAAATCAATCAGAATATATTAAGGCCATTATTTTCACGTCGATAGAAGGCCGGATTCAATTTATATTCGATTTTTTTTTCAGTGTAATATTTTTATGAAAGATGGATATTTTGAAGAGATAACTGTATAATTTATATTTACTTTATTTTATCGTGTATTTTTAATATAATTTTTATTTAAGGATTTTTTTAAATGCAGAATTATTATAAAAATTGCAACGAGGAGATTACTGAATATTTAAATATTACAATTTACCAATGTTACAATTTTTACTAATTTATTTGAATGTTAATTATGATTACACTTTGCATGATAAAGTATAGAATTATTCAATTTTGCATGAAATATAATTTTGTTATACGTTCATTGAGGTTTAGAAACCTAAATCTGCGTAAATTAATAAGTCATTTTAATTTATGAATACTCGAGCATGAAGGATTTTCTGTAATTCTATGCACATAAATATATGAAAGCAACCGCGTATGTATATATACATATATAGATAAAGATTGCATATAGATAAATATACCTATCTACTGTAAATTACACATAACATCGACAAAAAATATTAATTAGCATAATTGAATTAGGTAATTGGTTCCTAAAATGTTTTAAATGTTTGAAAAAATCGTTTACAATAAACTACCTATAACAATAAAATGATATATTTGTAGTAATTATATTGTTTATAATAATATATATATTGAAAAATCTAATATCTATAATATTATAAACAATGTATGTACTGCAAGTGTATCATTTTATTGCCGTTATGTGTTTTAATAACATTGTAGTGCTCGACGAGTAAATTTTATTCAAGATATGTTAATAAACTTTATTTTTATTTTATTCTATCCAACACGGCAATTGCTTCACAATTTGTGAACAGATCTGAATTTGCTAAAAAACTAACCTGAAAGGTGATCTGATTTCTTTCAGAATAGTATAGCATTGTGATTATTTTGTATTTATTCTTAAGCTTATAATGTATTTAATTATAAAACAACTTAAGCTTTTGCAATTTTTTTTTATATTTTGATAAATTTTTTATTCGTGTAACTCATAGCTGTATAAAAAGACGGTACAGCATTGCATCCTTCATAACCAGCACAATTCTATATATACGATAGTAGTTTTTAATATATTTTAAGATTTTTTCGTTCATTTTTCCCTTATGTATTTTCTTATACTTCAATTGTTCTGACAAAATAAATTTATTTAATTCTCATTTAATGTAAATAAGTTTTATTTTAAATTTCTGCTTTTTTGACTTTGCTATGAGAAATATTGCGTGTGTTCTTCAATAAAAGGTGTTCCTCAATATATTCAGAGATATATTAGCAGACTTTCAAAAAATATTACAGACGGTAATATATTATTTATTGCCTGTATTATATTATTCCTGTTATTAAACTGCTCGTGAACTTTGCCCCCAATCAAGTCGGTATTATTGTATATGGCTGCACGATAAATCGTATCGTATTAATATTCATGACAATAGGCGAAATTTCTTGCAATCATGTTTCTGCAAATCTGAATCAATTCCCTCGATATCGAAGTCTGCGGTATTCGCAGATATTTGTTTAGTATTCATCTACGCTTCTAAAAATATGCATTGAGAGATTATTTAAAAATATCATTCGAACAATACTATTAAGTAGGAGGCGATGTATTTACCGTTTTCTCAATTACTTTACAGCGACTATAAAAAGATGCAATATATTAGACACGAATATTTATAAATTTTAATAAAATGTAGCATTTAATATGGTGTGAATTATTGCACGCCTTTCTTTACCATTTAATATTGTCTGGAAGATTGCTAGACGAAAAGTCCTGTGAAAAATTTCATTGTCAGTGACAATTCTATACTTCATCTCTTAAAAGTTTAATTTAAATATGATACTTTTAGGTATTAAAGTGAAAGAAAGCAAAAACATTAGATAAAATTTCAATAAATTTGAGAAAGTATTCCAGATGACCCATATTTATATTTATTTGTTTTATTATAAATTTATCATATTAAGCAATTGAAAAACTTATAACTTTTTTCAAAGAAAATTGTTATTATGAATATACAGATAAAACTATGGATTTAAAGATGTTGTTGCACGTCATTTTTCACAGTTAAATAAAAACCGTAGAATATTTTATTATTAATATAGTAATATTATAAGAATGATCCGTTCTAAATTTTCTAGAGATGTATTTAAAGTGTTTGTAACTTTTGTTTAATTATTTTTTTTTACTTTTGCAAATAATAATACTTTGTAATAACATGAATCCATATTTAAGCAGGATTTGAATTATTAGGTTGTCAAATATCTCCCTTCCGGTTTTTTGCTCTTGGTTTATAATACAAAAAGGCGGAAGGGAGATATTTGACAACCTATTATTAGTATTGATTTATTAATCAAACTGTTAACAACAAAATTGCACAAATGACTATGGATCTGCTTAAAGTTATAATTACTTTCCAATATTTATGTTTTACTGTTATAACTAATAATGCACTATATTTGCAAAATTAAGTCATATCTATGTAAAATTTCTAATATTTAAGAATATTTTTAACTTATCGAAGTGGTTATATCCGAAAATGCACAAAACACGAGCATGGTCAGAATCGTTTTTGTTAAATCGTTTCTTTGTCGCCTCTTTTATATGTTTGTTGACATATGTCTATATGTTTCCACTTAGAAAAAAGAAATAAAATAAGATATAAGATAATGAAAGATATATGTACATACAATTCTTGTCTGAAACAGGCATATTCCACGTGAAGAGATTTTTAAACTTTGTTACTAAAATTCCAGATATCAAGTGCTGTCTCTGCTTACAATGTATATCGAAACTGATCAAAGCTAAAATTTCAAGTGATTTTCTTAAGCTTAAGACGAGTCTTAAATCAAATTCAATACTATGATAGTAGACAGACGCAATATTCATTATTTGGTTTTTAATATAAGCTTATCTTATAAGTGCAATAATACGCCCACAAAAGTCCAATTCGATTTTCTCCTGTGATGAAAACACGTTTATGTTCGTGCGTCTTGTCTAATTTGTCAATTGAGGTTCGTCTCTTATAGATATGCTAATGAAATAATATTGATTCGAAACCGAGTATACTTATTCTATTTAAAATTGAAGAGATAAAATTGAATCCATAATTCCATGCTTTTTAGAATTCAAATACTTTTAGAACGTAATAGCAACAATAAGAATATATGAATTGCCACGTTCCAGAGTATTTATTTTAAAATCGGAGTTGTATAAATAATGTTTTATAATTTGTTATATTTTTGATATTTTAATTATAATATCATATTCATTTTTTTTATCAAATATGATATAGGTATGACTATCTTTCACTAAGCCACCATAATCACCATCAATTCAGCTATGAAAGCAAATTAAGTATATATCGAAGATTATTTTTTTGTTCTCGAATATTATGTTCTAACATTTATATTTGATAATAATTATTACTTTCATTGACTATTCTAAAACTAAATTTTAAAACCTGAATTTTATTAATATTCAGTATTATGTGTAATACTTTTGTGAATATTAATTGCATCAATACAAATATTTTAAATTAAATATTACGCATCGACAGTTTTGTCGTAAATAAATAGAAAAAAATCTCTATTGATTATAATATACTAGAATTTCTGATTATTCAATTTATATATATATATATATATATATATTTATTCAAGCTGTCAACCATACTGAAAGCAATCCATCGTAATATTTTATAATATGTTTATGCATTAATGCAAATCTGATAAGTATGTTCAAAATCTACATCTACGCTAATTAAACACACAAGAAACTTCAACATGTTTCATTTCATCTTTAGACGTTGCACTTAATAAGTTTTGCATAAAGTTGTTAGAAATATCTGAACTTGTGAAATGTGAAAAGTCATTTCAGTTGCAAGTAATAAAGTAAATATTCAAAGATATCTGTAGTTTTAAAATTTGAGAAAGTTTTTTTTTACTTGTTAATCTTAAAAGACAGGGATTGAAAAATTATTAAAGTTCTGTTTGTTCTCTTATTTTGTTTGTAATAACTGAATCTTATTATGTGCAAATAATTAAAATGTGAAAAATCTTATTAATGTTAAATGATATTTTTTAAATTTAATATTACCTATTACATTAAATACTTTATTATGATTTGAACAAGAAGTTTTATTATCCGGTTGTTAGTAAAATTATTGTTTTCTTTCTGAATATTTGTTAATATTTATTTGATAATTATTTTTAGTTTCTAGAGTTTAAATAATAAATTATGTTAATTAAGTAATTTAACTGATGAATTATTTTAATTCCAGGTGAGGACAAGGAACGTGGAACTTTAGATTTACTGCTTAGCACTGGCTACTGTCGTTCCCACATGTATTTATCCAGGCAACTTGCTCAACTTCATCCAGAGTTGACAATGCCCATGTTTTCGGGTAAGAAATTTTTCAGATATTTTATATTAACAATTTTGAAACATTATTACCATATAATAATTATAACTTGCATATAATATTAACATACAACATATCAAATGTACTATTATATAACTTTTATGAATTGCTGAATATCATTGAAAAACAATGGTATACAATTTGGAACCCCCAGTTTGGCTGTTCTATTGGCTTTTCTAATGCGTAGTAAATTAATCTTCAGCATGATACAATTTCTGTAGGACTTGTATTTCTAACTCAATTGTGGTTCACATAGGAAGTTTGGCAATGTAAACATTTGAACAAACGTCCCCATTTTGTTTTGCGGTATTTGTGTGTAAAGACCGAGGAAATTGCTCGTAATTGGCGAAGTTTATTTACTCATTCATTACACCCTGGTCTATAGGTAGAGATTCTCTGACACTTGGCTCTGAATTATATATGAAGTTTAGCGATAATGGTTTAAGTTCAAAAATCATCAAGTTCATTAATTGCTAAGCTGTCAATTGAAACGTATGTTCTTTTGATTTCAATGTCTGGTGACTTTAATTTACAACTTTTCAATTAATTTATTCAATCATATACCGAAGATGACAAATATATATCTAGGTCTAGACTACAATATTAGAATTATTTAAAGTTCTTGAACTTTACTTTACATGACTTCAATAACACACCCTATGGGAAGCTAAACCATCATATATTTCTTTAATCCATCAATATTTGCATACTAATCATTTGGTTGCATTTCATTCTTATTATTTAGAAATAACACATCGTTTCCAAACGGCGCGTCCAGAAGTTCGACAATTGCTATTGCAATGTTTACTTCCATGGTTGCACAACATGGAACTCGTTGATCCTGGTGCACCAGCCTCTGCGTCCATGCACCACGGATATCACCATTGTCATCATCCGCCGTTGCATCAGCAATATCATGTGAGTAATTTTATAGTAAACTAGAGGAGCATTTTATAGTCATTTTTAAACAGATAGTTAAAGTTTCTTAATTAATAATCTGATATTTTTTCTGAATTATTTTGAGCCATTGATTTTTCACGTGTCTATAATATAACTATAGTTGATTTCAGTCGTTAGTTCATTTAGATAATAAATATAATATCTCTGATTAATTTAGCCGAAGCTGTTGGTAATATTTATCATCATTTTTTTTATTCTTCCATATAATTATTGATTTATCATATAATATCTCTAACTTATCAAATATTCATATCGTTATTATTTATTGTTTTTAGCAATTAATTTCCATATAAAGTTAGAAATATAAATTTTATTTTTAAATAACATTTATTATAAAAGTGATGCCATATTTTTGAATTAAATTTTTCCAATTTTCAATATTAAGATTGTATTATTAATCAAGAATGTTAAAAATGTGTAGTCATCATAATTTCACTTCAAACAAAGTACATTATCATGACCATGATCGATCACATAATGTAAACTTGAAAAACATGATGTAAATTTATGAAAATAGTTTTATGATAAATGGCTCTGCCATAAACCATCGCTTTATAATCGTGTTTATAAACAGTTTCGATACGATTTGAGGAAAAGTTGAAAAATTGCTTGTATTTCTGGCTTCAAAAACAATATTAAACTAGTTGTGTATGGCATCGTGCCTTAAGGCAAATTGCTGGAACTTCCCGTACCGTAACGAAAATTTGCAGGAATATTACATAAATGTTTTCATATAGATTCATAAATATTGTAACATTGTCTAATATTTATAAGAGTTATATAAACTGAATCACAAAGTTAAAATTATTTATTTAAAGAATATTAGTAGTTTTAGAACTTTAGCCAAAATTAAAATTAAAATCTGAATTATTTTCGATATGCAAAAGAAGAATTATCAAAAAAAAAAGATTTGAAAGAAAAATCGATTTTTTTCCCTCCAAAAGCAATTAATTTGTCAAAACAAGCAGAAAGTTTTTTAAGTCATTCAAATCGGATGCTTAGTTCTCTCAAAATTTGCCATTTTTTGCACATGTGCACAGCTCGGTATCTCCGAAACGGCTTTGCCAAAAACTAATCAGCATACCTCCCTATCAATAAGAATCGAATGTTTTTTAAATCATTCAAATCGGTTGATCCGTACGGCCGAAAACGTGGACGGAAAATTGTATCTATACATACACACACACATGCTCACACATTTTTTTGAGGTATGCCAAAATGTTCAGAAACCTTCAAAAGGTTAAGAAATGTAAAAATTATCAATTTTTTTTGGACGATTACAATAACTTACCCTACGGGAAGTTAATATTGTCGAACATTTGGTAAAATAGTCATAGACTTCTGTATTTAATTTGCTAAATACTTAATATATTAAAATTAACAAATTCATATAATAAATATATTAAAATTAATATTTAAGTATACAATGCAGTTAAATAATCAAATCTAGCTAATTTCACTAATAAAAAAGTAGTAAATTATAAAATTAGATAATATTGATACAAAATGCACAAAAATCAAAAGAAGTCAATACATTTTAGCAAAACTGATTAGTATTTTTTGAGGAAAAATGACATTTGAAACTATAATACCGTTTAAACAAAAATAGTAATATTAATCAAATTGAAGAAAATAGCAAATATTTGAAAAAGAAGTTAGAAACACTAAAAGTTTAAAAATAATATATTTAAAAAAGTAATTCTTCCAAGAACGAATAAAAGTACGAACTAATATAATAATTTAAATAATATTTGTTGAAGTTGTTCAAAAATATGCTGCAAGTAATTAAAAATAAATCTTATTATCAAAACAAGAGCATAACGCGTTTGTTTGTAACATTTACACATTACAAGTTTAGTGTTTAAATTGCATAAGGCGTTTCCGTCTGCTTTATTCAAGTAAATATGAAATAAATTTGCTTGTATTTATTTTTTTGGCACTTGTATTGCTCTATGTTATATTGTAGAATATCGATTAATAAGCACAATTATCTACATAACAGTCATATCAAAGCAAAACTTTGATAATTATGGTTTTTAACTTACTGTAGTCTAAATTGGTCGTTCGTGGTATTCGAACCAACGCTCATTAGGCAAAATATTTTATGAAACTTGTTTTACTATTATGCGAACTGCAAATTATGAGAAACATTAATTAAACTAACTTCCAACGTTCATTAAAATGTTATCATCAATGTTAATTACCACAAACCTTTACCATTTTCTATTCAACAGTATCACGCAGTTCACGGCTGTTGTGAAACACCACCCGACTTGAGCACTCCGGATCGTTTAGGCGACCGCGGCGGCTGCATGGCTGGTATAGGCGGTCAAACTGGCGGTCAGATAGCGGGTTGTGGCGGTCCAGGTTCAGGTCGAGGTGCTGGAACTGTCGGGGCTAGGAGAGACGGCTGGGGTTCGGCTGAAGCGACGGAAATGGTCTTGAATAATTTATTCTATATCACTGCAAAGGTAAGTTTGTTTTTTTAAAAAGCAGGTTATGTTTCTGTCACAAAATTCTGTTCTGTTCTGTTTTATGACGAAATCTCGACGTCTCAAGCCAATGATTCAAAATCATTTGACCATTGGAAATTTTTTTTGTGTGAGCTATGTATGTAAGCCAAAACTTGATCTTTTGTAGACGTTTCCTTAAAATAGTGGATAAAACTCGATAAGGATGCGCGTTTAATTGTTTTGCCCGATGATCTGCCGAGCTATTTCTTCAAATTTCAAATAACTTCAAAAATGTTTGTCTACGTTTTTTGTGTGAGCTATGTATGTAAGCCAAAACTTGATCTTTTGTAGACGTTTCCTTAAAATAGTGGATAAAACTCGATAAGGATGCGCGTTTAATTGTTTTGCCCGATGATCTGCCGAGCTATTTCTTCAAATTTCAAATAACTTCAAAAATGTTTGTCTACGTTTGCCAAAAATCATGAACCGAATTTGAAAATTTTAATCCTTAAAAGATTAGTTGCTGATCGTACTTCTGTAATTAATTGTTGATTTTTTATGGCGATTTTAATGAAACCTTGCAAACAGATGTTTTCAGAGCAGAATTTTTGTTATATTTTCCATTTGGAAAAAGTCATTTTCTCACATTATATTTCCTTATTAAACATTCAATACTTGATGGATTTAATTAAATTCATAGTTTGTAATTCAAGAGTAGCATGGCAACTTTGAAATACTTTGTATTCAGTCGATGACCATTACCTCACATTCCTGGAATACAGCCATCGATTTTGAGACTTTGTTGTCATAGCAAATGTCAAAGATACAGATTGGATGATCGTAACACGAATGTTTCACATAATAAGATTTTGTACACTTTCCTAAGCAGGCGAAATTCAAATTTCTCAAAGAAAATGCACTTTTCTCATTTTTGTAACACTAAACATCTTCATTATTTCGTTGTGTACAGTCCATGTGTATATTTTTTATAGTAATATTGCGCTTAATACTTTAGTCTATCTCTATGTCATATAAATAACTGATTTTAAACATTTTTAAATATGTTGTAATGATTTCAAAATTACAAATTTGAGTAAGTTTAGTCAAAATATATTGCAGTAACATACATATGCACTGTCGAAGTCGTGCATTACACAAAATCAATACTTCTTCTGCTATTTATAAGAAAACTATTATTATTAAATTGATTTTTATTACAATTTTATTACCTACATTTAATATTTTCTATTAATGAAACGGCATTGTGATACCGTGGAAAACAACAATTTTATTAAGTTTGATGAAAATATTTCTTTCTATAAACATTATTGCTGTAATTAAATAAATTTTTATGGTTTGCCAATCTGTGCTTTAGCTAGACTTTGCCTTGAAATATTATTCCATATCCAAGGTTAAAAGAGATGTAATAAACATGAGCATAAATTGAGAGTCATTAAATATTAAATGAAAATATTAGTTTCAAAATTTATGTGTTTAGCCGGATAATAATATCACATATTTTAAGATTGTATTATTTATATAAAATGCTAAATGTGAAGAGAATTATTAATACAATACCTAATCATAAAATATAATCAGAACGTGAAAATGCTAAATGCACTTTTGCGATAATTTTTAAAATTTTTAATGTAGAGCTTATTTTATCTAGTTTGATTAATTCATTCACGGAAATGATAAAGAGTATTTTATTCGGGTGAACTAAGGAAAGAAAATATGATAGATATCTCGTTGGTTATTCTATTTATAAATTGTTGAAAAGAAAATATCTAGCGAGTCCGTAGAATCTTTATTGCTCTATTCTGAGCCTGAAATCCTCAATTTATTTCGTATTAGTTTACGACACACAATGAATACTTTCATGAGCTTTATTGTGCCACCTATTGCATTTTTGATATATGATTGAATTGAAAATCAGATTCGATTGGTACTATCAGATTTCGTAATGATGTCCGGACATACGCTTGTGGTAGCATTAGTTAATAATTAATAAAAATTAATTATATTTACAATTTACTTTTGACGCGTATTAACACTTATAAGGTTCATTAAGTGCGTGATCTGGGACTTTTTACACTTCCTAATTCAAATAGCAATACTAATTTCTTGTATCCGATTAGAAAATGTTTTGTGAGCTTTACGAATTATTGGGATTATCATTTATGAAGTTATGAAAAAAGTGATTATAATCTAAACTTGCTCTGTTTTGCCACATTTCAAAGTAATTATATAAATTAATCTTCTACGTATATTTTTATTATTTCTAATTGATTTAAATTTCATTGCAAATGGCTTATATACGACTTTATAGTCAGTTAATTGGGAATAATATTCTAAATCTTGGTAATTTTAGTGATTGAAAATTTCCATTATTCATGGACATTAAGTTTAATTACGCCGGTGGAGAGATCTGGTACTTTTACATTGAAAATCATTTTACAATATAATTTCTGTGTTTACTGCTTTACAACATTCCATTCATAAGCAATGTGTTACAAGGTTTAATATACATTAATATTCTGCTTCTTGTTTCAAGAGTTTTTCATTTTACAATGTGATATGATGAACTGAAGTTTGAATTACTTAACCATGACGACACTTTAATCATACTGTATATATCATAGGTGCTATAAAGGACTAAAAATAGAAAAGTCTATACTTGCAATTGTTCCCAATTTTGTATATTTTTTTGCGAAACATTGCATATAATTTTTTTTCTTATCTGAAATCTGAATATGTGGCATTTGTTCTTTTAATTTTTTTAAAATATTTTATGAATTGATTGATTTTGATAGCAAACATTTTTTTAATAATTGTTAAATATAAATGAAATATCCATATCACGACATTGCTTAATTTTAAAATTATTATCAAAAAGTTTTCTAAAAATGGACTTTTAGTACCGATGAAGAAATGTGAAATATAAAAAACTCTTGTATTATCAATTTTAAATAATTTTCTTAAGGACGAATGTATATATATATATATATATATATATATATATATATATATATATATTGAGCTTGAATGTGCGCAGGAGCATTTAATATTATGGTTTGAATTAAATGAACAACATTGTTTTGTATGTACATGATATCACTTATCTTCATAATGATAAATGTGTAATCATATTCTAGAATTTCCAAAACACTGCAGTTATATTTACTTAGTTTATTATACATTATGTAAAGGTTAAATCAGTCTGCATTTATTTTATCTTCACTTCTATATTTAATTAACTTCAAAGTTTTTTAACAATAAAATTAAACATTTAATTACATTACGTTTACTTTTAATTACGTTATCTATTTACACACTCTATTCCAGTTTCTCAAAACCAAACCTATAATCTTTAAATATAGATTTATAGAATGTCCCATATCTATTTATAACATATAAAATCGTGACTCAATTTAACTCGAGTTGTTTATTATGAGAAGGAATCCTTTGTTTATTTCTGATCATTCCTTTTATAATGTAATAACGTCTGAAACAAAAGCGAATTCTAATTATAAACATATCTTGCATTTACTGTCACAATTATTTTATTGAAACAATTATATTTCAGGGGTGTTTTCTCTAAGGAATGAAAATATCAATCGCAAGGCTCCATATAATTATAACTAAGGTTGTTGTGCTGTATGCAATTACGTTTTGAAAACATTTGTACATTTATAGGGCGACCTTTTGCTGTTTTGTGTAGTGTCTGTTGCTTTTCTTATGATGTTACATTTATAGCATTTGATTTTACCAATATTATTATTTTTTTTTTAAATAAATTTGTCTGTGCACGATAAAAAGTGTTGAATAGGCCGCGAAAGCTCTTCACAAAACGGAAGCTTTCAGCTTTAAGCTCGTAGTTCAAAGCTCAGAGAAATACCGCTAATGGACTGAGCCCGTATAAGCTTGCTGTGACATACGTGACGCAGATTTTCCATAATTTGCGTCGGCGTCATTTTAGATTAGAAAATCATATGGAAATTTTCGAAATTTCACTCGATTGCAATACGCCAGGTTTCGGCAGATAGGTTCGCTTGGGAAATAATCTAATGCTAATGTATGTACACGGTGAGAATATATTCATTTATCTATGCGAATTTATGTATGAGGAGGTAATTTGTGGATTCTGCAGGTTTGAGATATAATTCTTAGTAATCTTGTTAATTATATTTTTAAATTAAATAACAGTGCATTAGTTTCAGCAAGATGTTTACCCAGTATAAAAATAATTTGATATGATTACGACATAGGACATATTAATTCTATTTTTTAGACATAATATTGCCGATTTATCAAATGGATTCATTTTGCTATATATGCAGGAATAAAAGGACTCACGTATAAAAAGCAAAAATAATTAAAATAATTCTTCGTCTGTAAATATGTGATATTCTGCAAGTCTGTATTCAATTTTACACTAATACATATTGACATCAATATTTGATATAAGACTATGAGAATTCGAGATTTTGTCACAAATTACCCATTAAATCTTTTTAAACTTTTTTCATAGAAATTAATTACAAAAATAAATTTATAACGATTCTTCAGTCGATCAGTTTTAAAACTATATTCAGGGCATTGATTAAATGCTCTTTACGAGTAACTTCTCATTAACAGTATTTAATGAAATTATTTTACGACCTTAAACAATATGGACTTAGATGGAAGCAATTTATCTGTACTCACTGAAATGATAAATCTAATCACGTGTCTTTTGAACCTGTGTAGTACCTGTGTGATTAAATAGAATGGTCTGCATATATGGCAAGTCTACATGGGGGGGATTGCGTTAATTGTTTTAAGAGGCAGACATCAAATAAAATAAATGAATAACGCCTGCTTTTGAAATAAATGGATTAATGGCCATTGAAATTAAACTGGAGATGTCTGAGATGAATAAATTCATATTCAGAATTATAAGTAATTACTGCAAATAATAACATAGAAGTCTAGTTACACTTGAGAAAATGTAAACATTTTTTTTTTTTTTTTTTGTTACAATTTATTTTTGTTAATCAAGATTTAATGTCTTATTTACAAAATTGATATGAGCAACAAAAAATACAAAAATACAAAAAATGCAATAAATTGAATATAAAATGAAAAAAGTTAAAATAAAAATAAAATAAAAACAGTAATACAAAAATAATAACAAAAATGAACTATGACGTGATTATGTATGCCGCATACTACGTCAGGGCGCGTGCAGACATTGGGCTAGGTGTTTGGTAGATCGGAAGGCCATTTCCTGCTCAATCTTCTTAACGGTCTGTGAATCGCTTGAATAGTAGGATTTGTATGCTGGATTAATTTATTGTTGAAAGATGAACTTCTAATCTTGATCATTTCGTTGACTGTTGAGATTTTCAAATCCTTATGTAGGCAAAAGTTCGAAATATACCAAGGCGCATTAGTAAGGATACGCAGAATTTTGTTCTGGCACCTTTGAATGATGTTTATGTTAGATTTGCAAGAGCAACCCCATAGTTCGATTCCATAAGTCCAAATGGGCACTATGATAGTTTTGTACAGAAGTACCTTGTTATCGAGAGCGATTTCAGATTTCCTTCCAAAAAGCCAGTAAAAATCTTTTATTTTCAGTTGGATTTGTTTCTTTTTATATTCAATGTGCGTTCTCTATGTCAATTTCGAATCAATGTGCATGCCTAAATATTTGACAGAATTGCATAGTGGAATTATTGAATTGTTCAGGATGATAGGTGGACTGTTGTGATGTTTTAGAGAAACAATTATGTGCTGAGATTTTTCGATATTGATTTTGATATTCCATTCTAAAAACCATTTTTCGAGACTAGATAAATAATTTTGTAACTGACATGTTGCTGTTCTAATATCGGAATCGCATGAAATAATTGCTATGTCATCGGCGTAAGTGCATATGGTTAGAAGATCATCTGTGGGCATATCGTTTGTAAAAAGAAGATAAAGTACTGGGCTTAGCAAAATGTAAACATGAGTTGAAAAAATTGTGCATTTTCTGGTTCCAGATGTGTAAAGTATAGGATATGGGCACTGCATCCTTGATAATGTTTTATCAAATAGTAATGATATGCGTTTTTAGATATAAATATGTGTCAAAAATATATTTCAATTTTTAAAATACCTTTTCAAGTATCGCGTTTAACAGTCAGTTTCCCTGAATAGAATTGTAGTTAAACTCATTTGTCATTTCATGAATGTATATAATACCATATCAAATCAAATCATATCAAATCCTACAAGCTCAATCCATAACCTTACTATTATTATCGTTTGGCATAATATAGTTCTATGTATCTAATATCTATTATTTGCGCCGAACATTTTACTCCAATTCGGTAAAAGCTTGTCGACGTGGAGCTTTTGAATCAATTTATACACATTATACAGCAAATTGCCTCACGATTGAATGATTTATATTTGCATTGGTAATATTGTCTCCAAAGGATGAGTGTTGAAATTTAGCAGATGTATTTGTTCCAATCTTAAAGCGTTGCTTTGTCTAATTGTACGAATCTGCTTTTTAAAAGTGTTTTGATCGTGATTATTTGGGCTATCATCAATTAATGATATAAACACTTTCGTGAAGCTTAATATTGTTTTCAACTAATTAATGCTTGAATATCTTTGTTTGATTTATCATGTTTATTGTATTAACTTCATCAAAAAACTTAAAATTTTTAGACGTATATTTTATCCATATATCATTATGTAATTACATAAATTATGTAATTACATATTTTGAATGAAGTAATACCATGTATGCGATTAGAAATATTTGCATTATATATTTAATTATCGAACACGCATCAGGGTTCATGAAAAAATTACTTATTTTGTCATGATAAGTATTTGAAAGCAATTAGTTCCTTTGTTCAATATATTTTTATAGATTTCAGAATGAAGTTAAAATTCAATTATAAGAAATTATATTTTACATTCAAATGCAACTGAAAAATAAAAATTTAAATCACAGTGTCGCGATACAAATGGTGTATAAGTTGTATGAATTACTTACATTATTTTTATCATTTTTGTATGTATTAATATGTTACAGTTCTAAATAATTCCCATTTAAATATATCTCAAAAAGTTCATTAAAAAATAAACACGAATTAATTTATTACCATTGTATAAAATGAAGCGCTTGTTGCCTACCGGCTGTACCTATTTTTAGGCATGTGCAATGATCCGTCAACAAAATAAATGTGATATTAATTGAACACTTTGAAAAACAAGATTAAAATTTTACGGGTTATTTTTAGATTAAATTACTCTTTATTTATTGAAATGATTGGTTTTACCGAATTTATATGAAGGGTTAAATCTGATCAGCTTTTATATGAATACATTAACTTTACTTTTATATTAATTTCATAAACGTTTTAAATTTTAATTTAAAAATTTAATTATCTATTTCAGCGCATACTATTTTTAATCTATTTTTCATATTTCCGTTCATTATATTTTTTCCAGTGAGTTTTAATTAATTATTGAATTATTTTAATAGGATTAAAAATGATCCAATTGTTTTAATTATGAGAATGAGCTAGCTAGCGTAATGTAATATTGATAAAAATACGATCAGCTTTTATTTGTTGAATATTTCATTAAAAACTCCGTGCGATCAAAAGTTGTTTCGTTCATAAATTATGTATGTACAACAGTACATACAGTATTTCTTATTATCCAAATTCTGTCGAATGGATTTCAAACGTTTTCGTCTGTATGCATGTTTTAGGAAAAGGTTGATAATTATAATGTGTTTCTGTCTTCTAATTATTGAATTCCGTTGTTTACTAAATATATTTTTCTTTTTTCAGTTTGCTGATGAACATCCACGAGATGTAGAAGAATTATGGGGTACTTTGTGTTCTTTTTGGCCGAATAACCTAAAGGTTATACTAAGATATCTGGTTATTGTAAGCGGAATGGCTCCCAACGATTTACTACCTTACGTAAGTAGTACTTAGAAGAGTAGGTTAAACGCATTTCAACATCCGTACCTATTAGCAGATAATCCATTTGGGCCATTGCTAACAAACTTTGCTGAAAAGACCAATAATTTACGAAGTAGTCGTTTTCAAAGGGCAAATTGAGAAATATTTAACGATCTCGCTGACTACATGTAAAATGAAGTAATCAAGATAGAATATGTAAAAATGTTATTAAAGAGAAATATTATCAATCAATTTGCTAAATATTACCTAAACTAATGTTATTTCAAATATTTAATGTCTAAAATAATAGTTGCCGAATAAGCTTATACTATATGATCCAATGATTATTAAATAAGTAGTCACATTTTATATTTTTAACTTCCCGAAGGAGAAGTTTCTTTTCATAAAATATCTGATTCACTAATTTTATGTTTTCTCGACGTTTCAAGCCATTCTGAATCGAATGAGATCAAATTTGAAAAAAGGATTTTTTCCGTAGTTTGACGTTTTCTCCAAAACGGCTGGACCGAATTCAAAAATTTAATAGCCATTTGATGTATCTTGATGAGGACTATTGTTTGGAAGTTTTGTGCGACGATCGGCCAAGCCGTTTTTTCATAAATAACAGAAAAGTGAAAAATGTTCACGTTTTCCCCGCAATTCTGAATCGATTTTGAAAATTCAAAAACCATTCAAAAGATACTGGTTGGGAATCGTGATGATTAGCTTTTGGTAGAGATCGGCCGGGCCGTTTTCTTGTAATAAAGTTTAAAAAAAAAAATTTCGACGATTTTTATTATTATTTTTTTAACGGTAGATACCATAGTCTTATGGATCATACTAAAATACTACGGTCCTACGACAACTCGTTTAACTTTAAAAATTTGTCGAAATTTGCAAAAATTAGTATCGTTTTTGTGGCTTTTGTCAAAATTAGACCTTTCATCGACGTTTGCCCAAAAACACCTGAGCCGATTTCAGAAAATTAAAATGATGAAGATTATTATTTCTTGGTTCTGGGCGACGATCGGCCGAGCCGTTTCTTTGTAATATGGAAAAAAGTGTTAAGTTTTTCGCCCACATTTAAGCTTATTCTACCGAATCTTTTTAAAAAATTCAAAAACTGTTCGAAAGATATTGGTTGGGAATAATACTGATTTGTTTTAGGTGAAAATCTACCGAGCCGTTTTCTTGTAATTAACTGTTGAAAAAAAAATTCAAGCCTAATTTTCCGCCTAAAAAACAGTTAATACTAAATGATAATTATAGCTTATACGAGTGTACCTCATATTTCATTATAATGTTAACAGAAGAATATATAAAAATAACAGATATTCTTAATTATATTTATAATTGATTATCTTCCTACCAGGCCAAACGAGTGGCATTGTACTTAGCCCGCGCCCGTCCAGATAGACTTCTCGAAGAGATGATGATAGAACTACAGACCGTTGAAACTTTGAATTGTCTCATAGAGCGCACCGAAACGCCGCCGTTCTATCGCCTCACAAGTATGCGAAAAGCTTCAAGTCACTCCGATGGTGGTGCAAATGGTAATAATGGATCAAATGGAGGGCAAAATGGAAACAACGGCAACTCTGGTGGTCAGAATAATGGCGGTAATACGGATAGGTATGCAGACTTGGCGGTCGAGAAGGGAACAATTCATACAAAACGACATAGTGGTGAGGATCCTATCAAAAGTGCAGGGTGAGTAGATTGAAACATTTTTTTATAAACAGATAACTTTAAACCAAACCATTTTTACATGTTTTGTCTATATTTATTCATATAATTAAATATAACTATATTTTCCTTCTGAATTATAATTTTCTTTGTGATGCGAATAATTAGTTCTTTGTAGTCATACACTCCAAACAATCGACTATAGTTTTAACATAACTTTCATAATTATTTCTTCGAACTTGAACAAATAACTCTCTAACGACTTAATTAGCTTATCTGACTACGTAGAGAATAAAGTTTACTGAAAACGTTGCTGTTTAATCCGGCGTAGATAATTATTCGAATAATAGTGAATTTGTTATTTGATGTTAATTATCAGCACGCCATAGTAGAAATATTATCTCTATATAACTATGATAAAAAATGAAATAAGATATTATTACCCTGAGATTTTGTTTCACCTTAGATCCTCAAAATCTGATTCTGCCTTAAGAGCTTTTAGCTCGCCTAGAGGGTACGAAAAAACTCGAGGAAATAGTGGTCCACCAATAGCACATAGACCAGATGATAATCTTGTTAATGAACAGGTTCTTGCTGAGGTAAGTATTTAAGTTAACTATTATATGTAACATATTGATGTAATTACCGCACAATTGATTGAAGGGGTTTGAATAATTTTTTTTTGCTTAATTATTACAAAATGTTTACTTGTATATTTAGTGCGAGGAAATGTATCGTTCAGCTATGATAGCGGCTTGTATTGGTAGAGCTGAACCGGAACCTCAAATTCAGCAACCACATCCACAAACCACTGCTATGCCGGAATATGGTGGTTATTTTGCGCCACTCAAGGAGTATTTAC